GGGTCCCTCATGGGGTGCATTATATTACCGGCATAATATTATCGCTCTGTTGTAACGTGCCCGTGACAGCCGTTAAGGTCTAGTAAGATCGCCTGGTGTCTGGATCGGGGTTTGCCTGCAGCTCGCGGATGGGCGAGAGGATGCGTGTGAAGGGCTAACCAACAGTCTGGTTATTAACGAAGTTTCTAAGTTTTCTCGTTTGTGTTCGTTCGCTTCTCGTATTGTGCCCTCTCACGTTGGATCGCAAAACGCGTTACATGATTGTTGAGTGTCACGGTTCCTTTGTGAATAGGATTGCCGATGTAAAGAGAATGTACAGGGAAAATCTTTCTAAATTTGTAGATTGCATACATGCAAATGCAAAAAGATTAAGAAGTAGAACGAATTTAAAGTAAACAAAAATGTTGAAGTAACTTTACATGCTTTCATATGATTCTTGTTAAATTAAAAACACAACGTTTACAATGATAGGCGTTAATTAATAATACAATAATATAACACGTACGTCTAGAATGTATCATGAAAATTGACTATAAGTTTATTGTAATGTATATTTTTTAGCAAATATTTAATTTCTACTGAAGCGACATTATTCATAAATAGAATCCTTCGAAACTTATGAACCTTTTATAATGTGCTATATATTATACTTTTTATTTATGCTTTTAAACACTTAAATTTTCCAAGATATCCGTAGGATAAATCTATATTTGTCAATCTATAAAACATAGGAGTTAGATATCACGCAAGTATTGTTGTTATTTACCCACCGTTCTAATTGGTTGCCAATCATATGATTCGACCGAGTAAATTTGGGTTGATTCTGTTGGGTTGGTTTGACAGCTTGACATTTAACGATTAACTACCGTAAAATGATTGATTGAGAGCGAACAAAAAAATTTGAAAAATAATATCTACATAGAGAGAACATAGCAAAAATAATTTCAAGTATGTCTAAAAGGATCTATTGTGATAGCGGATCAAATACATGCACGCTTAATATCTGATAATTGCATACTCATGATATTGATGCGATGATAAAAAGTAAAGCTCGCGAATTGCGATGCGTATATGAGATTAAAGAATGAGCTCATTGTTAAGAGAGTTCTCAAGTTCGTTCGTTTGCTCTTGTGTGTTTCCTCGCGCTGCATTCGTACGCTCGCGTTAGAGCGCATAAAAGCTTGGTACTTAGAGGAAAACGAATAAAGAGGCAGTGCGAGTCTTTTCTCGACTCGGCAACCGTACTACCGAGTGAGCGCAGTCGAGGCTTTTGGACGCCTCTTAGCGCTTTCGCAGAAAATCGAATTACTCGTTTCGCGTTTGCGGTCCGCCGACGGCAGGAAATGAGCATCCAGTCCTTCACTGGGAATGGGCATTTTCCGGAGCCGCTTCGACGTCCAGGACGACCTCCGCGACGTCTCGCCCGATCTCCGTGCAATTTGATTTTATCGCGGATGCGAATCTAAAAACAAACGATCGTAGAGTTTTTCTTTTCCGCTAGACAGCCCGCAGGCTAGAAGTTATACGCGATAGATAGCAGCTTCCGTGATTTTAAAACTAGACACAATTTTTCCATAAACACAGGGTAAACATTTAAAACGATTTGCAAATCTTAGTTGCGAAGTGTGGATAATATTTTAATATATCACTCATTCATATCACTCATTTTTTTAATCATTTTTTGTATCGTTAAAAAAGATGTTTAATTCACGAAATTACATTGATTAAAATAACATTGAAAAAATATTAAAGTACATTTTACATTTATTTTTCATTACATATGAAAATAATTACATTAAACATCTTATTTAATATATGCATTATGTATATTTCTAATAATCTTTATAAATTATCGAGAGAATAAATGGAAGGCTATGATGATGGTTTTGATAATGCTGTTGCTTTTATGACTATTTTCGTGTTTTAGTAATATCAATCTTTCGGATACAAACAATCTCTATTGTACGTGTCAAACAATTGATACATTATACAATAGCAATGAGAAAGAATTAATCTAATTCTGGAAGTTATTACATTATAGATACAATATCTTCATGGTATCTGTCAGATTGATATTCCAGATATCACGTATTATTTTAATAAATATCTAAAATTACATTTCTTTTATCTTATTATTATTCAGATTGCGTTATTTGTATTATGTTAATATTATTCAACAATACTAAATATTGCAAATGCTTAGCGACGTATAAATGATTCTAAACTTCACGAGAGAGAAAGAGAGAGAGAGAGAGAGAGAGAGAGAGAGAGAGAGAGAGACCAGATCGTAATCAGTTGTGCGCATTACGTTTTCGCATATATTCCTGTTTTCAATATTTACTTATTTAAATAATTAAACACATATTGTATTCTGTTTGCACTAATTTAAACCACATATCGTCAATCTATTAGTCCATATATGTATTGTATGTATTTCCATATTAATAATATATGTGATAGAGGCGCGATTGCAAATACAAATATTTTTGATTAGCTGAAAATGGTGCATGAGACGTATACGAATGTTTGACGTCGAATTGGGATCATTTATAGCTTTATTTGACGATTTAATGAAATAACCAGGTAAAATTTTTACGAAGGGAAGCTTTAATTAGAACATATAATTTAGACAATATCTATAGTTTCCTTCTTGGAGTCTCGCGCCTCCATTGTAAAACTTTGCTTGAAAGACTTACAAAAGCACCTACAGTGATGCCGGAATATGTGCGACGAGGCAAGTGTAGTGGTAGATATGTTGTCGGCTTTACCTTACCCGCGAGTGAAAGGGAGAGAACATTATAGGAAGAAGAAAGGGAGATATAGAACGGAAAAGGAAGTGCGACGAAAAGAGCTAGGGAATAGAGGGGAGCTGGAAACACGTTTCGCTTCCTGCCGTCACCTTGAAGCCATCTCTTACCGGTTTACGAGGGCACCCACGAAAGTTTCGGTACACTTGCACTTAGAGTCATCCTTAGGGGATAGTGCGATATAGGTACTGCAATGCCTGTTACGAATACTGGCCTGAGAACTGTGGGTTGGGTTTATGACTTGCACTACTCGTTCGCATGCCACCGAAAGACATGAAACGCTTAAATTCCTTTTGCTACCTTTTTGATGCTACCGATTTCTATCCTAGTTACTTCAGTATATCGCGCTAACGACTTCTCGGCTCATGACATGG